TCTAATGAAAGAAACCGTAGTTCAATTGGTGAAATTGTTAGTTTTAAAACGAAAGTACAAAAAGGAAAAAAGGGTTTTCTGGGAGGTTAAAAAAAGGGAAAATAAGGAAGTGTGGGAAAAAATAAAAAAAAAAATAAAAAAAAAAAAAAAAAAAAAAAAGAGAAGGAGGAAAGGGGGGAAAAAGGAAAGAAAAAAAAAAAGGGAAAAAAGAAAAGAAAAAAAAAAAAAAAAAAAAAAAAAAAAAAAAAAAAAAAAAAAAAAAAAAAAAAAAAAAAAAAAAAAAAAAAAAAAAAAAAAAAAAAAAAAAAAAAAAAAAAAAAAAAAAAAAAAAAAAAAAAAAAAAAAAAAGAAAAAAAAAAAAAAAAAAAAAAAAAAAAAAAAAAAGGGAAAAAAAAAAAAAAAAAAAAAAAAAAAAAAAAAAAAAAAAAAAAAAAAAAAAAAAAAAAAAAAAAAAAAAAAAAAAAAAAAAAAAAAAAAAAAAAAAAAAAAAAAAAAAAAAAAAAAAAAAAAAAAAAAAAAAAAAAAAAAAAAAAAAATGAACGAAAAGACTTTCTGGAAAGCCTAATAGAAGCCTAAAATTCACAAAAAAAACTTTTTATGCTTCAGCACCTCAAGAACAATTCGAGCCACCTATGCATCGTTGGCTGCACAACGCTATCGGAACATCAATTTGGATTTTTGGAATGAATTGTCACAATCGGATATCCGACAGAGACACTTAGCGTGGATTTGCGAAGGTTTAATTGAAAATATAATTCAGTGATTTGAGTCGAGAACGTCAATATTGTACTAAGTTGAATACTAAGTCTTGTATTTTCTAAATTCTTAAACTTCTTAAGTAACTTCTTACGTCTTAAACTACAAAATACTAAACGATTTCTTGCATTATAAATGTTTATCGTTTACTTTTTGTCATTTTCTAAACAATTTTGAGTATTTTAGAATAACCTGCAAGACTGAAAACTGGTTTTTTAAAGATATTGAGCACATAAAGCGAACCGCTAAACGGATTCTTCTGAAATTTTGGTTGTAGTCTTAACTTTTTGTGTGCTATCTTTTATCTTTTCATCAAAATAAGTTTCATTGGAAGAAATGGTCCAAATAGCATCATTGGATCTGTCTTTTAAACACTCGGCTTCTTGCTAATGAAAAACCTTCGAAACAAAGCTTTTCGGAAACTTTCAAAAGAGAACCTTAATAGAATTGCGGTAAAGTAGTCTTTGAATCCTTCTTTAACTAAATTTCCATTTCGTTTCCTCTTCATTAGAAAAGTTTTCATCTTCGCTAGATTCTAATTTTCATTTAGATTACACTAGGATTTCTTTGAAAGAATAACTTGAGAACTTTTCCGTATCATAGCCTTTAGCCTACGTGCTTTAGCTTTGTCATTTGCAAAAGAAATGATTGGGTTATCTAATGAAAATCGTATTTCATTTGGTAGCTTCAGACTTATTCAATTAGGAAATGAATTTGAGTACTCTATTAGGATATTCAATTAGGAAAGACTTAGTACTCAACCTAATAGTTGCTTAAAGATGAAACCAACACAGTGTACAACGATCTCTCTAGCTTTGATCTCTTGTTGTTGATAGCTTGTAGGCTTAGGCTTAGGCATAGGCTTATAAAAGTACATACTTTAGCCCTACCAAGCACAACGCCACAACCAACTCGATCAACCACTCCCTGGTTTCCGATCACTTATCCATCCACTCCAACCCCAACGGGAGCACCAGTTTTCCGTAAGGCTTATAAATTTTTAAGTACCTTTTAAGTAGGTAAATCTTTTAAACAATCTAACCCTCACGTGTTTAGATCCATTTTGCCAAGATCCACAAGATATCGCTTTGATCATTCACATTCCAAATTCACAAAATGCAGTGCTATTTGATTCAGTAACTCGCTAACACAAGTGCTAAAAAATTTGACTTAATTTAGGTGAAAAAGTTTGCTCAACAAGCTCTTTTGAAAGTGTTTAATGGACTTGATCAGGGTGATCAAGACAAGGTAAACTTTTGACCGTGCTTTGATTAATTGATTGCGCTTATCATCGCATTTGCACTATCATCGCAAACGTTATACTATTCTTAACTTGCCAATTATCTACAATCCTTTTATAGCAATTGTTAATCATCTACAATCCTTTCAGTTGACGAGATTGACAATCTTTACTTACTACGGAAAAACCACTCAAATGATTCAAAGTTTTCCGGCAAGCGGAAATCTTCTTTCAGTCAATGCGACCATTAATAATATAACATTTATTGAACACGATCAAAAATCTTCTTATCTATCAGTGTAAGGATAGAATTTATGATTTAATCATTGCAAACCTAGAGCCTACGCTCAAGCGTTGAATCAATTCAATATCTATGGTCGAAAATATGCGTCATGGACCACGATTGTGATTGCTGAAAGTTTAGAGTAAGGAAAAATAGATTTTCTAAAGTCTAAAGTAATATTTAATCAATAAATTTATATAAATTTATATAGATTTAAGTTTAAAAGATAAAATTTGAGAGCTTACAGTCTTGATGATGTCGAACAAGCATCAATGGGCCTTGAATCGATGAACTCGAATGGGGTTCTTGTTTTAGGAATCGGAACTACGGAAAACCTTGAGAATTATAGAAATGCTAGTCAAATTTGGAATGAGTACAAGGTGATTAACTAGTTGATGGTTGATAGTTAGAGACTTACAGCTTGTTGATGGCCTATTGCTGAACCCGGAAAGCAGTGCCTCGATTTGCGTACCTGTCGCCAATTTCATTTGTGACACGGCATGTGCACACTCACCGGGAGAGATTCCAAGTAAATAATCTTTCAATTCTTTCAATATTCGAATAGAAGCAATAACTATAAATATTCAGCTTAGTAGACCTTGTGTTTTGAGCCTTTAAAGATATATAAGGCTATAGGGCATTTCTTTGGGAAAAATAGCATTCTTTATCATTTGTTTTTCATAAGCAATAGCAATTTTGATAAGCAATGGCATAAGTTTTTCTTGCAGCTAAGTAGGCAGCTTATTTGGATCAAATTTATAACTTAGTGTAGAAATTTAAATTCCGTCTAGCTGTAAGAAATATATTTATACTTTGATCTTTATAATTTCTTGTGAGACCGTGTCTCGGTGTGGTTTAATGGTAGATGTCTTGAAAACGCACAATAGAGAAAAGGAACCAAACGTGTAGAGAAAAGGAACAAATCTGTAGAGAAAAGGAACGAAATCTGTAGAGAAAAGGAACCAAATCTGTAGAGAACATGACAACAAGTTCATCAACTAAACGATGGCAAACATTTGATTTCAACGTCATTTCGTAAGCATCTACCAAAGCCACGGTCTCGAGAACGGTTTACCATACTAAAGAGCAAAACTTTTAAAAATAGATAATTAAAATTAACTTGAAGTCCTTGAAATTGAAGTGAGCGCATCCGTGATGTAGGATGCAAAGATTACTGGATGTTCGGAGATCAAGCTCAGAACCCAATCTGTAGAGAAAAGAAACAAATCTATACCGAAAAGGAAACAAATCTGTAGATAAAAGGAACCAAATCTTTATCAAAACTTTCCCTTATTAGGGTAAACTTCGCTCAAACTGGAGCAACCTGGCACTATCATAATTACTTCAACACTTGCGCGTGAAAAAAGGATGAATAGAAAAAGGAGCACACAACTGACTCAAGACAAAGCTTAAATAATGGCTTTTTAAGTACACAAGCTACGCCAAATGGACAACTGAATATCGTCTAGTGGCTGATTACGGTAGTTTATCCATCAGCTTTGAATTTTAACTTGTGCATTGAATTTTGACTAACTGCAGAGCAGTGGCAATTCGCCACACTAGCTTAAAATAATTTACGCCATCAAATTCTCCCAACTTTAAACAATTTGACGTTTTATATTTTAGTATCCAATCATTTAGCAAAGTATATTTCTTATTTAATGTTAGTTCTTTCTTAGATTCTTGCATGAACTGTTTAAAAACCATTGCTAAAGTTCATTATTGCTTAATCAATAGCTTTTCTTACATTTCCTTTGCATTGCCTACGATAGTGACATCTCGATTGAGATCAGCGAATCGAACTCATTAATGAAATCGTGAATAATGCTTTTTTTGACAATTGAATTGCTTTTAATTGGTTGTTACCTGAAGGTTTTCTTTCTACGAACTTCATCAATTTTTTTAGGCATTGAAAAATAGAAGCGCATCCAATAGGCGCAATTGGAATGATTGAAAAAGAGAAACGCATGCGCTTCTATTATTAGGTGTGTGAAAAAGTAATCCACGTTTTTAACATTTATGCGGTATCGATTTGTCCAACTTTTTGATAAAATTCATGGCATTCAAGCGTTTCCTTACGGTTGACCCATCACAATTTCATGTAAGGCCTATTTCTGAAGAGGTTGAACGAGGGTTTTCGAGAAGACAGCATCTTATTTGATCATCCGGACAGGTCTCAGGACGACCGCCACGTGGTTCTTCTTCTAGGCTTTCATTACCACCTTTGAATCGTTAGAACCAAAACCTAGCGGTATCATCAGTAACGGCGTCTTCGCCAAACGCATTCCGAGTTCGACGTGCAGCCTCCGCAGCTCTCAACCCATTTTTGAACTCATAAAGCAAATTTGACCGAATAACGATACTTGTGTATACCATTTTCAAACTAAAATGAAAGTAGTTTATTGTCGTCCTTTTAACAAAATAAATATATCATTCGAAAGAGGAAAAAATAAGCTTTTAAACGATATATATATCGTTAACAAAAAATTAAAAATTGTTTAGATATATTTATTTAAACAAAATAAAAATAAAAAACGTGGATTACCTTTTCACACACCTAATAGAATAAATACGGTAGTTCTTAATCAGTAGCCTAATCGTGCAAGACAGCTTGCAAAGAACAAAGAATAATAATATATGTAACCATATAGAAGTTACGGAAGCATTTTAGTGGCAACAACTCTTGCCACAACAACGCCTATGCCGACTCTCCAGCCTACAATGCAACCTGGAATCTTGCCACAAGGACCAATTGCTCCTGAAATTTGGCCTTACATTACCATTGTATTAGGTATGAAGATTTATATTTAAACAAACTTTAACACATACTGTAAATACTCTAATAGAACGCCATCCCTATAATGACGGGGGTACATTCGCGTAGTCTAACTTTGAACGTCCCGTTCTCCGTGCTGCTTTAAGCTACAGTATTCGTTTCAGTGTCAAATGATAGCCCTTGAAATCTAGTATTTTTTGGTATTAAAAGTGTAGTTGGGAAGAATCTAGAGGCTGAGAAAAAAGTTTCTAAGAAGAAGTTAGACTACGCGACTGTAGACACAACTAACGCCATGTTCTATTAGAGTATTTACGGTGATTGCACAGATACCTCTTCCGAGTTGAGTAGTCCAACAGCGTTGAATGATCGAGGATTCGAAGTGGTGAGAATCTGAATTTGGCTGGGGATTTGTGACAACAATTTAGCTCCGAATATTCCTGGTCAACACTTTGATCAAGTACCAAATTGGAGTCGAGTATACTTTGGTTTCTTTAGTGACATTTGACGCTCAAACAAAGGTGCATTTGCTTTTAAACTCAATCTAGCTTTAAACTAGCTTTAACCATTGATTGGCAATATGGACCCGTAGACAATTTTGTCTTCAGGTTGAGTTCCACTTCAATAGTCATACGGATTGGACTTCTTTATATAAAGCTTTAACCATTGATTGGCAATATGGACCTGCAGACAATCATGGAAAATGGAAAAACATTGATGAGTTGGTCTTTTTGGAGTCTGTTATCTTGGAGTTGGATCAAAAAGCTCTAAAAGCAAAAAAATAATCTATATGCTTTACTTTCAGCGCTATGGAGCTCGTGCTATCGGACGTTTATCAACCGACAAATGGTGCCAAAGGTGATGGCAATGTCTTATGGATTTTTACCACTGGACCGTTAGTATTCTGTGTAAAAATTAAGATAAAATGATTTAGTAACAATCTAAATCTCACTCAAAGATACCAGAATGCAGTTAGCGTTTTGGGCCAAGGAGATGTGAAAGTGAAAGTGATCGGGCTGGGAAATATTACTGATGACTTCATGACGAATATTGCGACTGATTATACAATTGTGAAAGATTACACAAATCCATTGAGTGGAATGGCCTCTGCGAAGGATTCAGTTGGACCAGTGCTCTATCAAGATTCAACACAAAGTTTCATTTTCGCTACTTTCCAGTTATACAGAACACAACAGTACTCTTTACTTGAATCCCATTGAATCAATGGATATTTAGATTTGGAATTAGATATTTGAATCTATAGATATTAAAAAGATCTTCCGTTAAGGTTCTGCTTTGGTAATCAAGTAATTAAACTTCAATCTTTTATCAAACCTTGCCCGCAAAACAGAGAAATTAGCATACCTATCCTTTTCTTATCATATATTCTTACCTAAGCCATTAATTGGAACCAAGGATGCGCATGAATTGCCAAGACAAATGCAAATCGCCGAAACTTATCCCCCTGAGATTTCGCTTTGTTTTGTGAGATTTCGTTTTTCTAAAGCTCAAATTTTGCGAAGTATAACTCCATTGATGCAACGCATTTTTGTGGTAAGAATGTACAGGGTGACCAAGAAAAAGGCAATGAAAAGGCAAGCAACCAGAGTGATTAACTAAAGCAGACTCGCAATAATGTTTGTACAGGATGACCAAGAATTACCGCAACACAAAAGGTTTGGCTTTTAACCAAATATGCAACCCATCTCGAAAAGTTAACTTAAATATCTTTATTCAACATATAACAATAACAAATTAACAATTAAATTCAAATTTGCCTCCATCGGCATTCAGACAGGCCTGCAAACGTTTGGGAAAGGCGTTGACCGTGGGAAACGTTTGGGAAACGAGCAAATAGGCATCATCGAGGGTATCCCATGCTTTGATCAGCGCCTTCTTCAAACTTTCGATATTTTTATGTGGTTTTGCACATGCCCTGGCTTCAAGAACACTCCAGACTGAGTAATCCAATGAGTTAAGATCGGGTGAGCTGGGTGGCCACTCAGAAAACGAGATGAAGCCCGGGAAGGTCTTTGAACAAAACTCTTGCACTTTCTTTGCACTTTCTTTGTGAGCCGGCGCACCATCTTGTTGATAAGTCCGAATTTGATTTTTGAAGTGGTAACCATAAAAACAGGTAAGCAAAAAGTGAAATGGGGCTCATAACATAATACGACGTTGTTGCGGTAATTCTTGGTCACCCTGTAAGGTGAATGGAGCGTATTATAAATTCCCACGTGTGTAGCGGTAGGATAAATTTGGATGTGATTGCCGAAATGATATGTGTGTTTGTTGAAGTGTATTTGAAAGATTTAACTGGACACAACCGACTACCGCCCTCAACATCTCCGAAGTCGGAGCCTTAGGAATAAACGACGACCTGTCTTGCATTCCGGAAGATTACTTGTTTATCTATATGAGTAATGATAATCTTTCGTGAGGCAAATATAATGAAGAAATAGGATAGAAAGGGGGAACATGCTAGGGGAAGGGGAAAGCTTTCTAGTATGATTCCGAATGAATGGTGTTTCAAGTTGAGAGATCGGGCAGCCCGAAGGACCGCTTCCTTTAGTCTAGGTCTTAGTCTAGGTCTAGGTCTTAGTCTAGGTCTAGGTCTTAGTCTAGGTCTAGGTCTTAGTCTAGGTCTAGGTCTTAGTCTAGGTCTGAAATATTGAAGTCTGTGTGAATAAAGAGCTCAGTGTGAGATTTCAATTGGGGAGAGAGAATATGGATGAAGTCGTTTCAACTAAAGTTACAGAGCGAAGAGAGACATAGGAGAACTCTGAATTTTGTGCTTTTCTGATTTCTGATAATTAGAATAGTTAGACGGATTTCTGACAATTAGAATAGTTAGAATAGGGGTGAATGGAGCGTATGCAAATTTCTCTTTGGTGTTTAACTCCATTGGTGCAAGGCCTTTTCTCGAGCCTTTTTGCGAGAGTTTAAGTAAAGAGTACCAATCTCAGACTACCGTAAAGACTAGTTTAAGTAAAGACTACCGTAAAGACTGCGTTGGTACTAACACAACTCGTTTGTGGTCTTCTCTTTCTTTTCGCCAGAATCTGGAAATATCTATTGAGAAATAGAAAACGACATTATATCATTGCCAGAATCTGGAGGCTTTATTTATTTTCTTACAGATGGTCCACCTTCAATCCCAACAATAAAAGGTGACATCTTGTTAGCAGTCGATCGAGAAATGCCCTTAAATCTTTTTGCGTCTCTTCAAACATTCTTGCAAAAATTCGCTGGGGTAATTTTTGTACACTATTGTTTTTCATTATACTTTCAAAGTGTTACCCTTGCTCACTCAACTGAATATCTTCTAGTTTCATGGGAAATTTCAAATAAAAGGGGCAGCTACGAAAGGCAAACTAAAAGGGGCAGCTACACAGAAAAAGGAGTGAGACTTCGTAGCTTTCATCGCTGCCCATTTGTTTGAATCTTTGTTTGAATCATAAAGACATTCTACTAGAGTTTAGGGTGACACTTTGAAAGTATAGTTTTCATGTAACTTTAGCACTTTACCATTGGACCGGATAAATGCCATTTTGCTATTGTTTTGTTTGACTCGGAGGGCATTCAGAAAGTCTATGAGTTCACAGAGGGTCAAGATCTTGCGGTATGGCATGATTTTTTATATTGAACTGTTTGGTTTTTTCATTTTTTCTTAAAATCTTGCTCTTAACTTACATTTAGACACATTACAAAGAGATTTAGACTGTTCTGGACCATATCAAATCATTGGCACCTCGTAATAGTGACAGTTTTAAAACAGCCGACTATCTCACGTAAGTTAACTTTTGCTTTTGTTAACTTTTGTTAACTTTAGCTGAAAATTACTAACAGTTGAGCACAAAAAGTCACAAATTGTTGAGTGAATGACTCAGAGCTCTTAATTTCAAGCTTTAGAGCTCTTAATTTCAAGCTTTAGAGCTCTTAATTTCAAGCTTTAGAGCTCTTAATTTCAAGCTTTAGAGCTCTTAATTTCAAGCTTCAGAGCTCTTAATTTCAAGCTTTAGAGCTCTTAATTTCATCGTCAATAACATTTCGTTAACATCAAATGGTAAACGAAAATCCACTCAGAGTTTCGCGACTTTCCTCACAGCTAGCAGTGACAAGTAAACGCTATTTGAAGTAACTTGATCTTTCTTTCGATTCAGCAATTATTCAATCACGGACATTAATCTTTTGAATAAAACGAAAAGCCTTTATGTGACTCAAGTTCTTTGCCTTGACAATGGCTCAATTCCCACGTTTGCGAAACAGCTTGCAAGCCAGGTTTGGCTACAGAAAATCTCTTTGATACAACTTAAAACCCTTACCAATTTTAAAGAATTGATAAAGAATTGAAACATACGCTACATAACAGCTTGAAACATAACAAACATACTCTTAGGAAACATACGCTTACAACGTTGATGATCTCCTTGATTGGTCGACATCAGCAACCGGAAAGAAATCGCCTATGCAAGCTTTCTTCGCCGATCTACAAATTGGTGAGCTTCAATATTCAAGCTTCAAGCTTCTAACATCATTCTTATTTATGATATGTAAAGCTCTATAAAAACTCTAGAAAATCAAATGGCTGTGCAAAAAGGAATACTCGAGACAACTGATGTAAAAGCTGATATTATCTTTGTGCTTGATTTGGCAAATCTAAACGACAACTTCAACTCGGTGAATTCAAACAAAAAGTGATTTTTAAAAATTATATTACTATTCAGATGATTCAATACTTCAACGATTTTACCGCGAAGTTCACAATTGGGCAATTCAACGCTCAATTTGCTGGCATGTCGTTTGGAAGTCAGACACAAGATCAGTTCACGTTGTTGGCATGCGGAAGGAATCTCACTCTAGGGTGCATAGAAAATGAGTTAAGCAAATGGAAATCTTCAGCTGAAAATGATCCTCGATATCTTATCCAGTAAGGAAGGATGATTCACAGGGGAAGGATGATTGGGTCTGACCTTTTCAGATGATATATAGATCATTTGATATATAGACCATTTGATATCTAGACCAGAAGTTTACGCTGACTCCAATCATGTAAAAATTAGCTGCCAAATAGCGAGCAATCACCGCCAAACTAGCATAAAAGTTTTGAGCTTCTGCTTTTTTCACAGACCTTTTTTTCCAATAGTAACGGCAGCGGCGGCGCTTATATGAGACGGCGTATATGTAACACTTTTATCCATCGAAAGATGTGGAATGTGTAAAGTAAGGGAAAGCTCTTTCAGGGATATTTGCTAAGCTGTTTTGCCAGATGCCTGGCGTTTATGTGGACCCATAAAGAACACAAAAGAACGTAGAATGCAAAAGCAAAACAATGTGACTGGTTCGAACTCTTGACCCTGAGCTTTCTGTTCAACTCAACCACTCAGCCACCGATGAACGGTTTGCGTTCAAAAAAAATCGGGTTAAAAGGAAAGACTCAAAACTTTTATGCTAGTTTAGCGGTGATTACGCGCCAGTTAATTTTTGCATCATTGAAATCAGTGTAAAATTCTGCGTCAAATGGTCTATATATGATTGGAAAAAGCCAGACTCAATCATCCTTCCCTTTTCAGTACAAATATTAGTAAATATTACTTTTCTACAGAGCTTTAAAGAATTTAAACGAGAACCAATTGATTTCCTCGAGTGGTTGGCGACATTCGAAGACTTATATTCTCATGTTCTCCGCTCAATCGAGGTCAGTTTTTCGTGTGTCAAGCTTAAAAGTAGATTCACACTTTTTAAAATGTTTATTGCAGTATGAAGAAGTCATTTCTTTAAACATTTACTAGCAAATTTCAACTCCATTCAGTCCGATTTGGAATATGGAAGAATTGGACGAAATCTGCTATCAATTGCACAATAAAAACGCTTTTCTCTACTACGTTGATATGGCAAATGGAGCGATGCCAGACGAAATGAAGAAATATTTTGATGGAAACACTTCAATTAGTAATCCCAACCAGCTGCAAATGAACTCAACAGCTGATCAAGATCTCGTCCTCGCTGTTACTTCAAGTTTTCTTAAGAATTCTTTTTCAAAAGTCTTTTTCTTTCAGGTTACCATGCATACCAATATCCACCACTACGCAATTTATCAACTGTCATTGCTGATTTCGTTTTTGTTGTCGATCTTTCAAACACTGGAGTTTTAGCGCAGGTTTGCAGCCTTAACATCCGTTTGTTTAGGTCAAAGGGACTTAACATCCGTTTGTTTAGGTCAAAGGGACTTAACATCCGTTTGTTTAGGTCAAAGAGCCTTAACATCACATTTGTTTAGATCAAAGAGCCTTAACATCCGTTTGCTTGGGTCAAAGAGCCTTAACATCCGTTTGTTTAGGTCAAAGAGCCTTAACATCACATTTGCTTAGGTCAAAGACCCTTAACATCACATTTGTTTAGGTCAAAGAGCCTTAACATCACATTTGCTTAGATCAAAGAGCCTTAACATCACATTTTTTTAGGTCAAAGAGCCTTAACATCCGTTTGTTTAGATCAAAGAGCCTTAACATCACATTTGCTTAGGTCAAATAGCCTTAACATCCGTTTGTTTAGGTCAAAGAGCCTTAACATCCGTTTGTTTAGGTCAAAGATGTACTTTCAAATCTCCTTGATGGAATGAATATCAATGCTAACAACTCTCAAGTAAACTCTCCAATATTTCAATCTCTCTATTCTCTCTATAGGTCTCATTGATCGTCTACAATGAAAATGGGATTATATCTGAGTCAACCTTTGTTCTGAATCAATATCAAAATGCAAATGATTTACAAAAAGCTCTTGATAATATGAATCAAACAACTTCGACGCCGACAACAGATTTTGGGAAAGCTTTAGTGTATCTAGAAGAACGAATTTTCAACAATTCTTTCAATGGTTATCGCAAGACGATCACTTTTCTAACCTTCATCAACACAAATCCGAGGTATTTTGATAAGAAAAAAACCCCCATCACCCCCATGGCTCTGGTGCCAGGTTCATTCCTCTCAAATAGGCAACAAAGCAATTTTTAAAGGCCTCACTTGTTCTGATTGCAACCCGCCTGCTTTAAGCATTATCTTTCAGTCTTGCTGAACCGCTGACCAGCTTTGTGAACACATTGAACAGTCTGCGATCTTTCCCATTCTTGTATTTCTATGGATTTAACATAGCGCAAACGAATCCAGACGACGTCGATCAAACTTTGCTAACGGTAGGAAAACCGGCAATAGTTAATGCCAAGTTTTAGGTTTTCCCATCAACAATGTCAATGTACATTATCCGCACAAATGTCTTGGTCCCCGATACTTCTGTTGTCAACAATTTTATCAAATTCATCGCCAACAGTTTAGAGCTAGAATTGAAACATTTTAATGCCTACTTTTCCAGCTTATACAGCTTTCATTACTCAACCAATAACAACAATAGAGACAAAGATCACCACAACAGGTAAGGAAATTCTGGGAGAGTCTGAGAGAAGACTATTCTTGCGATATAGACAAGACGAGTAGATCTAATTCTGGCTCTAGTGCCAGGTTCATTGCCAGACTCTAGTGCCAGGTTCATTGCCAGGCTCTAGTGCCAGGTTCATTGCCAGGCTCTAGTACCAGGTTCATTGTCAGGCTCTAGTGCCAGATTCATTGCCAGGCTCTAGTGCCAGGTTCATTCCTCTCCAATAGCTAATAAAGCAATTTTTAAAGGTCTCACTTGTTCTGATTGCAACCCGCCTTCTTCAAGCATTATACTACTTGTTGCAAGAAGATTTGGAAGTGATATTCTTTCTAAATCTTCTAACTTAAACGTAATTTTAGACCAAAATCAAGACGAGATTTTATGGTGGCTAAATCAAACAGTTACCATGGTAAACGAGTTGGGTAGAAACTGGAATCATTTCGAACGAATGGCTGTTTTCTCGTTTGACAGCGATTTCTATGTCGAGAAAAGCCTTCACAGTATGAACAACTTTGCCGACTTTTCAGCTGGAGTTCTCAATATTCAGCCAAGCAACGAAACGTTGAATTTAGCAAAGTAAATTTTATTACCAGTCATTGCAGAAGTAGAAATTGCAAGACAACAAATAGATTCTATGATATTTAGTGCTTTACAAGCGATTGATGAGAGTCAGTTACCATACGCTGGTTTGCTTCAAAATGTGATTATGTTTCTGGATGAAAGTGTGAATGATACCATTTCCCAAGCTATTCCATTTGCTCAAAATTTGATGGCAAAAGGAACAGTTTTAGCTGTGACAATAAGTAAGAGAACATTTGTGGTAAATCATTTGTGGTAAATCATTTATGGTAAATCAATCAAATCATCACAAATTTCATTTAGATGGAAGCGCATTTTGGCAACTCGGCAGCAATAACACAGCTGCATTTTCCTGCTTTCCCAATCTCACTCCATACGATTGTATTTGGAAAATTGATGCTTTTCTAGGTACTTTTAAAGAAATCGAATCGATTAATTGACTTAGAAATCGCTAAAGTTTAGGTGCCGTGCTACCAACGACAACAATCCGACCTACTACAAGCTATTCTCAGATTTGTCGGCCACTTGCATCCAGTTCCACTTATATCTCAAGTTTTGCAACAACAACCTATACGGACTTCTATTCTGACGCTTCAATAAGTCAATCAACTATTTTCAATACTTCTACAGTCACTTCAACTTCAACTCCAACTTCTACAGTCGAAAGCACTAACTCAACGTCTGTTACTGTGCCCAATACTTCACCTAATCCTTCTACACCAAACACCACTACGACTCAAATTCCTACAGACTCTTACTCTACCTCTAATACATCACCTTTATCCACATCTACAATTCCAAGTTCGAATGCGACAACATCCACTGATTCCTTTTCTTCAACAAGTCAATCGACCATACTCACCACCACCTCTGAGACTATAACTTCTAGTACTTCATCTACAAATTCTTCCACAACAGAAACCGTTACACCTACAGATTCTTACTCTACAACTATTACTGAGTCGTCATCTTTACCCACTTCTACATTTCCAAATTCGAGTGCGGCAACATCCACTCCCTCCTTTTCTTCGACAATCCAATCGACCATGTCCACCAGCCCCTATAATCTTTCAACTTCTTCAAACATAACTACTCTTTCTACTCTGTCTGTACCTAGTACTCCATCTTCAAACTTTACCACATCAACTCCAGTTACGACAGGAATTCCTACATCTACAGCCACCACTACAACAACTACAAGCACAACCACCATAATAACTACTACAGGTACAACCACAACGACTACTACAACTACTACAGGCACAACCACAACGACTACTACAAGCGCAAGCACAATCATCACAAGAACACAACAACAGACTACTACAAACATAACCACAACCAGTGGTACTACCGCAATTCTCCCAAATCCGCCAATTTCAAACATTTTGTTTATCATGAATCAGAATATGCAAGATCCACTTGCTATTGAAGGAATGAAATATATGCTGAAAGATCTGGCAATATACTGGAATCACTTTGATGGTGTCGATATTTCATACATTGGCGAAAGTTTTTATCAACTTCGCGACTATGGAGACATCCACAACTACAATGATTTTGATGCTGCAATAACAAACTTGCCATATGCAGACAATTTTACGGATCTTTTAACGTGAGCTTTTTAGAAAATCACAAATTTCTGGTATGCTAGTAAATCCCAAAAGTAAATCCTTCTAGTAAATCTAGTAAATCTCAAAAGAGGGATTCGGTAAGACCGTAAGACCTACTGGTAAGACCAGTAAGACCAAAATATTAGGTTGTCCAGTTATGAATGCACGCCTGCTCTTGAGCAACTTGGACAGCATTCCTTAGAGCTTTACAATTTTATCAAACCAAATTTTCTATATGCTGTTCGGGATTTCTTATTTTATTACAACTTTTCCTTTCTTTTTCTTATTTTATTACAACTTTTCGTGTTTTTGACGTCAATTTTTGATTTAATCTCTGTGTTTAGATTTAATTTCTGTAAGCGACACGAAGTTTCGTCTCCGCGCCAGTCTTTGGTATGACTTCAAATTGGGCAAAAATATCGCTGAATCATCGAGACCTTTGGAAAGTGTTTTGGAAGATGCTATTTCGTGTCGCCAATGGTTTCAACGATTTGGAGAAGGAAATCAATCTTTGGAAGACGAAAACTACCAACGACGGCCATCTGCGATCGATAATGCAGTACTGAAGCAGGCGATAGAAATGGATCCTCGACAAACTACACGTGAACTTGCAGAAATATTTAAAGTAAGCCCTCAAACAATTTTCGAGCATTATGCTGTTCAGGATTTCTTATTTTATTACAACTTTTCGTGTTTTTGACGTCAATTTTGATTTAATTTCTGTGTTTAGATTTAATTTCTGTAAGCGACACGAAGTTTCGTCTCCGTGCCAGTCTTTGGTATGACTTCAAATTGGGCAAAAATATCGCTGAATCATCGAGACCTTTGGAAAGTATTTTGGAAGATGCTATTTCAGAAAGCCAGTGTCGGCGATGGTTTCAACGATTTCGAGAAGGAGAGAACGATTTTTGGGAGACGAGGACCACCGGCCTCCTACGATCGATAATGCAGTACTTAAACAGGCGATCGAAATTGATCCTCGACAAACTACACGTGAACTTGCAGAAATATTGGGAATAAGCCTTCAAAAACGCGCATTTAGAACTGGACAACCTAATAGTTAAACTTACCTAGTGAACATTTGTTAGAAAAATCGAACAGTAAATGTAAATCTTTTGCACTTGAATCAATCAATCAGCCAAATTCTTTAGAGTCCTTCAAGCTGCTAACCAAATTTTATCAATATGCGACTTTGGCAATCAAAACGCCGTTCTATTTGTCGATTCGGATCTCTTTGATTTGGAGATAGATCAAGGCACGCTAGATGAAGCGGACAAACTCAAAGCCAAAGGTGGCCTCATCTTTGTCGCGATGGGTAAGTTTTAATTTGAAATTCCATCACTCTTTTTTTCAGGATTTAACTTATCTCAATATCCGACAGTCTCAAATAAATACGAGACGGCGGTGTGGCAAAATCTTAGCGATTGGAGCTCTAATCAATTCAGTTATCAATCTACTCTCTCAAAAGTGGCTACGTTTTTAGGTAAAGAACCCTTTGAAATGAAAAACTTTTGGTATTTTAAACAATAAATATCTGATAACAAGTTTACTGATTTAAAAATGAAGTTGAAAGATAACTGAGACTGATAGAGACTGATAATTTTTATCTTTATTTTATCCGAAACAGTTTGAGATTTTCAAATACCGTATTTTCTCTAATAGTAGTGCACCCTGAGAGTCGTCTAAATTCCTCGAAATCTCGAGAACCGCTTATCAGAATCTATCGATGTGGCGTCGGAAAATGTAGCTGACGATGAGATCTAGTGGGGGATTTGAGTGCTGAGCTTCTGCGAAAACTTGGAAAGGAGAAAATAGCCACCAACTCGGCTCGACCGGGGTGCACTGCTATTAGAGAAAATACGGTATAAGGAGCTGTCTGTACAGGCATTTTCTCGGCCGTGTTTTGCCCAATAAAGCTAAAACTTCTTTAGAAAACCTTAGAATATATTGTAGTTATGTCATTTATAAAAAAAATCAAAAGAATCAAAGTTTGATGAAACACCCAGGAATCGAACCCGGGCCGTGTGGGTCGTAGACAAGCGCGCTCCTGACTATGCCACGGTGACATTGTTCATTTTTTCGAGAATACTTACATTATTCATTATTCATTATTAATTATTAATGTAATTACCGTATTTTCTCTAATAGTAGTGCACCATGAGCGTCGTCTAAATTCCTCGAAATCTCGAGAACCGCTTATCAGAACCTATCGATGTGGGGTCGGAAAATGTAGCTGACGATGAGATCTAGTGGGGGATTTGAGTGTTGAGCTTCTGCGAAAACGTGGAAAGGAGAAAATAGCCATCAACTCGGCTCGGTCGGGGTGCACTACTATTAGAGAAAATACGGTATTGACCTTTAGGCGTTTCCGATTATCATGCCACTCCACCACCACCTTCTGACTGGCCAATTCAGTGGCCTCAAAGCTTTAATCTCTCGTAAAAATTTAACTGTTTTTCGATTTTTTTGTTTGAATAAAATTTGTATTTCTTTTATGGTGAGAATTAGCAAAAAACATCAAAGTAAGAGATTTAAAAACTCTCTATGCTATCTGATTCTCAATGCCTAGTAAATTTTAAATTTAAAACAGTGATTCTGAATTGTTTGGATGTGAAGAAAGAGAGACAAAACAAAAATCCGATCAATGATCCACAAAAAATCTAAATTGAAATCTAATTCATGTCTAAATTGCGAAACTGCAATTCTCTTTTAGAAATTGTTTTTTACTCAAGATTTTCTTTGCCTGCAATTTTTAACGCAAAACTTTTAACTTGAAAAGAATCTGATCAAAATAATGAAGCTGTTGACGATCTTGATCCAAGTCTCTTGATGAACATTATGACATTAAGAGTAGCACCCGTTCGTCCATGAACAATCCACAGAAAGTTTCACCTGTTCAATTGGGTGAAATCAATCTCCAATGTATTGTATGTAATCAATCTCCAGTATCAATCTCCAATTGCCACAAGTTCAGCCAAAAGAGGTTTGATTTTGTGTTTTTGATTCAGGTTTGATGAGCATGCTGTATTTTTTAGGGAAGTAAATAGGTACTTGATTTGATTCAACATTTCCAATATGATCTCCAGTACAACTCCAGCCTTGCAAAACAAAGTTTGTTAAGAAATTTAGGCAAATCACACTCTTTTTAATGCAAATAGTTCACTCTAGAAGCCAGTCAATTTTTCTGCCTCATTTGATTATTCTTTTATCTTACATTTGCAAATTTACCGTTTTACGACCTATTTCAGTGCGGAAATGGGCAAGAATTCTGTGAATCGCCTCCGAAATTTAGCTCATAAAAATTTATGTCTTCTCTTTTAAATAGAAGAGAAAAGATACAAGGAAAAAGAATAAAAATTGTCAGTAATCAGTCTCTATCAGGCTCAGTTATCTTTCAAAGGTTTTGAATCTTCGGAATTGACTAGAGATCATCAGCTCTCATCAATAGTTTGCTGCAAAAGTAAAAACATTTCTTGTTCTCAACTGCAGCTTTTGAAACCACAAAAATCTTGAATCACAATTGATGATACTTCAACTTTTGAAGCTTTACTTTGTATCTTGAACCTACCGAAGATGAATTGGTTCAAGCCGATGACCCCGAGAAAGGCAAGTGGTTGAAAATTAATTTTTTGGTTAGCAAAACGTTTGTAAACCTCAGTAAACCTCTGTAAACCTCTGTAAATCTCTGTAAACCTCTGTAAATCTCTGTAAACCTCTGTAAATCTCTGTAAACCTCTGTAAATCTCTGTAAACCTTTGTAAATCTCTGTAAACCTCTGTAAACTTCTGTAAATCCCTGTAAATAAGTTCTATAACTTCTTCAAAGCACTTCTTCAATTTCAGCTCTCGATTCTTATGATCATTTTCGAAGTAATAGTTTTGCTTATCAGTATCGCCGTGTTGTCGTTTGGCTCTGTACAAATTGGAAAGTGTAAGAACGACTTTCTTGATTCATAAACAAAAGTTTAGCAAAGAAAACAACGGAATTAAATCACCCAGTCTATCAAGATGTTTCCGGTGTTTTACTACATTTTTCTATTGATTCAGGATTATCTTGGAATCCTTCATTTATTAATCAAAACTCGAATGAAACTAAAGCAGTGATAGAGGATTTTCGGAAAAATGTTGGGTTTTTTCGTTAACGACCCTGAAAAGTTAATTCAGCTAACGAATATTCTTGATTCAATGAAAGCCATGTGGCCTGACTACATTTTGGAGTGAGTTTTAAAGCCAAGCCTGGCTAGTTAGTTTTAAAGCCAAGCCTGGCTAGTTAGTTTTAAAGCCAAGCTTGGCTAGTTAGTTTTAAAGCTAAGCTTGGCTAGTTAATTTTAAAGCCAAGCTTGGCTGGTTAGTTTTAAAGCCAAGCTGTAATTTTGTGCTCAAAAGTAGAAACATTCAGCTTTCTATTGCATCAAAGTGCATCAGTTTCTAAAGTCCATAACTAGCTTCGGTTTATAGAAGTCCCAGCCATACGATTCTTTTCTATGGAACTTTTCTCTTTTCTTTGGGAGTATCTAAAGACGATGTTCAACAGATACTCAAACAGAACGACTTTAAATCCACAATTGAAGGTAAATTTATATTTATTTCCAAAAAAAAGTAGCACTCTTAGAATCTTCAAAGAAGATTTGCCAGGATCTCGCGGATGATGAAGCGCATACACCGACACCGCCAGCAATCGGAAGTCTGACTTATTCAAGCTAAGAAAGTCCCACAATAGCTGAATAGCTGAATAGCTGAATAACATATTCATATACCGTAATTCTTCTATTAGGTTGGCGGGAAAATAATGCGAATTTTTAACTTGTGCTCTTGGGAAAGTAATGGCCGATAAACAGAGAAAAGCGGAGATAGTAATAGAGAAGCAGATCTCGCGTACACCGACAGTGTGTTTGCTTACACAATCATAATATTATTCGAAAACATTTTGTTCATTTATTATCAAAAGATGACGGAATAAAAATTCCTTATTTGAGCTGCTTTACTCTATGCCTTTAGACTTGGAAAATCTGCCCGTCAATCGCATAATTCTATTTCAAAGGCCAATTATTGGATTGAGCAAAAGATGACATAATGTCCTAAATAATAATGGAGATGACCCTCCAACAAATCGAAGAGATGGGCTGGAAACTTCTACCTCCCGTCCCATACAGCCCTGACTTGGCCCCATCAGACTATCACTTATTCAGGTTTCCCGCCAACCTAATATTAGAACGACATGTCGTTCTATTTTTCAATACCTCCAAAAACTATCGTTCTAATGGAAGAATTACAGTAAAGGGCATTATTTTTCAGTTTCTTGTACTCTTCAGATTTCTCCTGTGATCCCCGGGATTCTCGAACAGTGGTGATCATGGTTGACGCCGCTATGCCAATTGATCCCAATGTGAAAAGTGAACAAAAACTTAAAATCGTAAGTCCATTTTGTTTAAAACTGAACTAATGAAATCTTGGGTAAGTTGTTAAGTAAGTTGTTAAGTAAGTTGCTAAGTAAGTTGTTAAGTAAGCTGTTCAGTAAGTTGTTCAGTAAGTTGTTAAGTAAGTTGTTAAGTAAGTTGTTCAGTAAGTTGTTCAGTAAGTTGTTCAGTAAGTTGTTAAGTAAGTTGTTAAGTAAGTTGTTCAGTAAGTTGTTCAGTAAGTTGTTAAGTAAGTTGTTAAGTAAGTTGTTCAGTAAGTTGTTCAGTAAGTTGTTCAGTAAGTTGTTAAGTAAGCTGTTAAGTAAGTTGTTAAGTAAGTTGCTAAGTAAGTTGTTAAGTAAGCTGTTAAGTAAGTTGTTAAGTAAGTTGTTAAGTAAGTTGTTAAGTAAGTTGTTTTTTAGATCAAAGACTATCTTCTCTCACTTGCTCCACCCAATGATCTACCATGGCTCGATCTTCAAATGGGTATTGGGGTTTTCTATGGTAGCAATGCTTTCCTGATCAACAACTTTCTTTGCAATGATCTGGTTCACTAGTTTTGAATTCAGTTAATCCCTTAATTTTTAGCCTTGTTGGGAAACAGCTATCAGTGAACTCTTTATAAATGAAACAACACTTAGCCACAACACAACGCGGTAAGCAAAGAAAGAACTTTTTTTTTTTGATAAAATATTTTCAGAGCTTTGGAGTTCATCCGAGATGAGTACTCAAGTTTTGAAATGCAACTGAATGGAAGAGCTCGAGTGTTGACTATTTTATCGGATGGATTGTATGTTTATTATGAACAGAATAGAAATATTCATGACTAGATCTATGGCTAGATCCATGTCTAGATCTATGGCTAGATCCATGTCTAGATCGATGGCTAGATCCATGGCTAGATCCATGCCTAGATCCATGGCTAGATCTAAAGCTAAAACCATTTCCAAAACCAATGCTGAAAACCAATTTAAAAAAAAAATAATAAAAAAAGGGAAAGATGGGGGAGGTTGTGGCTAGATCCATGGCTAGATCTATGGCTAGATCACAAAAAGGAAAAATGCCTTTGTTCTTGGAAAAACACAAGCGCTTCCCAGAAATTCAAGAAAAACACACACAGAGAATAGTTCTAAGAAAAGTTTTCAGCGAATACGATGGTGGCTTCGGTGAGCGTTGGAGTCAACAGTTGGCTCAGGTCATTTCTCAGACATTCTACATCTCGACAATTCTTGTCAGGTAGATAAAAGGATTAACAAAAAGCTTTTATATCCACTTCAGCACCTCAAGAACAATTCGAGGCACCTATGCATCGTTATCCGTCGGTGGATATCGCAATATAAATCTAGACTTTTGGGATCAGTTGTCTCAGCCCGAGATCCAGAGAGCACATTTAGGGTGGATTTGTGAAGGTTTGATGGTTTTGAGTTTAGTTTTAAAGTTAGAATTGAAAATTTACTTTAGACTGACCTTTAAAAACCGGTTATCAGACATTAGCCTCGCCTCCTTTGCGATTGGCAATCTAACTTTGAGCTCAAATATCTTGGTGTTGAGTTATTCAATTTAAATATTCTTGGTATCATTAGATACGCCAAGTCTTTCTCCGTCGATTAGTACAAAAGCCATCTAAATTGGACACCCCAACAGCAAGTAATTTCAGCTCAAAGTTAGATTGCCAATGGCAAAGGAGGCGGGGCGTATCAAATGTCCTACAATCTTAAAAAATAGAGCTATTTTAGCTTTACCACGTACTCCACAACCAACTCGTCCGATTGTGCCTTTAGATTTCGATTTCACGACGACTCCAAAACCAATTAGGCCTCCAGTTTATGGTGAGTTCTCAAAGATTCAGATATAGTATTGGACTTGTTGACTAGTTGACTTTAACTAGTTGACTGTTAAGCTTGTATGAGACAATCCATTCCAGATCTATTCAGATAGATCAGAGCTTAGGATCTCAGATCAGATCATTCCAGATCAGAGCTTAGGTTATCACCAGCATAGCTGTATTAAATATATTTTCTTTAGATCAGTTCTGTCAAGATCC